ATTACTCCCCCCTTTAAAAAGTGCATCGTCCCGATGCAACCCAAAACAAAACAAAGCACATAAAAAGAACGGCAAACTAAAGAGTCACTTGAAACACATAAGATCCACAGTCTTATCGAGCGTAGTACGGCTTCAGGCGCACGACGTGGACGACTTCAGGTCGTGGTGGGCGGCGTGATGATGTTCTTGTTCCGTCGGGCATCACCTCGTAGTTCAGCTCGCCGAGGCGACGAAGTACCTTGTATGGTCGGCAGTACTCGTGAGAAGACACGTGGCACGGTACCCCTGCCCCCTTCCAGGTGCTTGATTAATGCGCGCAGCTCAGGATCGTCCCGTTGACGTCGTGCCATATCGTCGGTGTTCACTGCTCCTAGGAAGCACTCGTCGTCATTGTCGTCACTGCAGCCGGAAGGGGTTTCGACGGGGGCTCTGGACAGGCAGTCGGCGTCGCTGTGCTTGTGGCCTGACTTATAGACCACTGTCATGTTGAGCTCTTGTAGTCGAAGACTCCATCGAGCGAGGCGTCCTGACGGGTCCTTCAGCTTCGCAAGCCAGCAGAGCGAGTGGTGGTCCGTGACTACACGGAACGGGCTCCCGTACAAGTACGGACGAAACTTCATTATTGCCCAGAGGACCGCAAGGCATTCTTTCTCAGTTGTGGAGTAATTTTTCTCCGCCTTGGACAATGTCCGACTTGCGTAGGCGATGACTCGCTCGATGCCTTCTTGCACTTGGAATAGTACTGCGCCCAGTCCCGCGTTACTTGCGTCCGTGTGAATTTCTGTTTCCGCATCCTGGTCGAAATGTCCAAGCACAGGAGGAGTCTGGAGTCGTCGTTTCAGTTCGTCGAATGCCTGCTGTTGCTCGTCGGCCCATTCGAACTTCTCGGCGTCCTTCTTGAGATTCGTAAGTGGTGCGGAAATCCTTGCGAAATCCCGAACGAAGCGTCGATAATAGGCACAAAGTCCGAGGAATCTTCGCACGGCCTTCTTATCTGTCGGCGCTGGAAATGCCGCGACGGCGCGAGTCTTCTCGGGGTCTGGGCGGACGCCTTCGTTACTAACCACGTGGCCAAGGAACTTCAGTTCGTCATAGGCGAACCGGCACTTTGACGGCTTGAGTGTGAGTCCGGCGGTCTGAATGGCTTGAAGAACAGCTCGGAGTCGTCTCAAGTGCTCGTCGAAGTCAGCTGAAAATACTACGACGTCGTCAAGGTAGACGAGACAACTCTGCCACTTCAGCCCTGCCAGTACGGTGTCCATGACACGCTGGAAAGTTGCTGGCGCCGTGCATAGTCCGAAGGGCATCACCTTGAACTCGTACAGTCCATCCGGCGTGACGAAGGCTGTCTTCTCTCGGTCCCGTTCGTCGACCTCGATTTGCCAGTAGCCGCTCTTCAGGTCCATCGATGAAAAGTATCGAGAGTGGTGCAGCCGGTCTAGAGTGTCATCGATGCGGGGGAGTGGGTAGACGTCTTTCTTCGTAACCGTGTTGAGCTGCCGGTAGTCCACGCAGAACCGAAGAGCTCCGTCCTTCTTCTTAACCAGCACGACTGGAGAGGCCCATGGACTGCTTGAAGGTTGGATTATGTCGTCATTCAGCATCTCTTGAACTTGCTGATCGATCACCTCCCTTTCCTTAGCGGAGACTCTGTACGGCGATCGATGCTCAGGGCGCGCGTCGTCCTCGGTAACGATGCGCTGCTTGGCAACCGCGGTCTGGCGCACCTTCGACGACGTCGCAAAGCAGTCGCGGTATTCGGCGAGGAGGTTAACCAGCTGACGCCGTTTAGGGTCCGGAAGCTTAGGGTCAATGTCGAGCTGCGCTGACGACGAACTGTCTCGCTGGGGCGGCGAGGATTCGTCAGTAATCGCGGCGATTTCGGCGGGGTTTCGGAGTTTCTCGACGTGGCTCACGGCTGCACCTTTCGTGAGGTGTTGCGTTTCGTTTCGGAAGTTCGTCACGAGGGCCACAGTCCGCCCATCCTGAAGTTCAGCTACTCCCCTTGCGACGCCTATGCCTCTTCCCAGGAGCAATTGGAGGCTTCCCTCGAGAAGAACTCCGCCACAGGAAGCTTCATCGATCCCGACAAGTACGAAAACACTCGACCGCGGTGGTAGGTTTACGTGGTTTGCGAGGACTCGGACCGTGGGTGACGTCGCTTCGGGTTCCTCCGCTGGTGGAGCAGGTTTTCGTAGCGTCAGCCGGTTTGTTCCGAGCTCGATGACGGCGCCATACTCGCAGAGAAGGTCCATTCCGAGGATAACGTCCCTCGAACAGTCTTGCAGAACGACGAACTTGACAGGGCACGTTTCACCGTGGATCTCGACGCGAGCAGTGCATCTCCCGACTGGTGTGATGAGATGTCCTCCGGCGGTTCGTATTTGGGGTCCTTCCCACGGCGTCATGACTTTTCGAAGGCGGTGGGAGAGCCTCCCACTCAAGACTGAGCAGTCTGCTCCGGTGTCCACGAGTGCCGATGCGTCGTGGCCGTCGATGACGACGTTTAGGTTGTTGGACACCGTTGCAGGGGCGTCGTAGCGATGCGTGGCGCTCCGGCGTTCTTGGGCCTCCAAGAGCGCTCCGGCGTTCTTGGAGGCTCTTTACTCGGGTCGTCTTCGGCAACGGCACCTCCAGGCGTTGCCGCACTTAGTTTTCCCGACGAGATAGGGGGGACAGGCTGTCACGGCGCGACCGACGGAAAGGCGACGCGGAACGTCGGGGGGATGGAGAACGGGAACCTCGTGGTGCGGTGGGCGCTGGTGACGGAGGGCGACGGAGGTATTCCTCGATGTCCCTTGGTCGTTCTCCAACACGAGGTCGACGGTCATTTGGAGCGAATGCTCGCAGGCCGAGCTGGCGGTAGGGGCACCTCCGGTAAACGTGGTCAGCCTCCCCGCAGTGGAAGCACACCGGGCGTCCGTCATCCGTGCGCCACACGTCGGTCTTTCGAAGTCCATGCTGCTCTTGGCGCGGCGCGTACTGCGGCGAAGAGACTTCTCGTCGGGGTGCAGATGGGTACTGCCGAGCAATAGGAGGCTGCGGACGACGAACAACGGCGGCATAGGTCACAGCTGGTGGTTCCGGTGTGGCGTCGGCGAGAACGTCTGGCTGGAGCGCTTGCTGGACCTCTTCTCGAACAATCTCGGCGATCGAGAGTGAAGCTGGACGTTCGGCAGCAGGTATCAGCTTCTTCAGTTCTTCACGGACGATGTCCCGGACTATTTCTCGGATCCCCGGAATATTGGGGGTAAGGGCGCAGCTTGACGGCGTGGGTGCAGCGACGGCAGGAGCTCGATGGAAGTGAGCGGCTCGTGCTTGCAGGGCCCGTTCAATGTTGGTCGCCTCTGTTACAAACGTTTCGACGGTGGTCGGCGGGTTACGGACGAGGCCTCCGAAGATGTCATCTCGTACGCCTCGCATCAGGATCCGCAACTTCTTTTCGTCGGTGGCTTGAGGGTCGGCGCGAGTGACCAGGCGCAGGACATCCTCGACGAAACTGGTGATGGTCTCGTTTGCGCCCTGGGTTCTCATTCGAAGAAGGTCCTCGGCCCTCTCCCGTCGATACTGGTTAGTGAAAGTTCGCCTCAACTCATTCTTGCAGGCGGTCCACGAGATCAACGAAGTCTCCCGATTCTCGAACCAGTGCCTGGCCGTTCCTTCGAGCGCGAAGTAAAGGTTCTGCAGGCGCTGGTTGTCCGTCCATCGGTTGTGCTGGGCCACCCGCTCGTACTGTTGAAGCCAGTCCTCGACGTCTTCGTGGGCGTCCCCGTGGAATGGCGTCGGAGTGCGGGGTGCGACGGGCAGGTAGATGAAGGCAGGAGCGGCCGGGGTCTGCGACTGGTTGGCCATCGTCGTCGTCTTCGGCTTGGGCTTGTCCAGTAACGAACCGTATTCAGGATCCTCTCCCTTGATGCGCCGGCTGGTCCGGGTTTCGGATTCCGCGGGGACTGGTCTCCTCACTGGGCTTGGAACTGGACTTGCACTGCGGGCTCTTGGAGGGGAACGCTGGACGGGCATGCGGTACCCCGCATTTCCACCAAAATGTCACGGGTGGTGACCAAAAGAACAATAACTAAACAGAAAGAAGTAAACGTTTAACGTGGCGAACTTGCGCCAAAACTAAAAGGGTACAAAGAGAATAACAGAGCGTCGCGGGCGTCGAAGTCGGCGTAGCAGCACAGTCGAACGCTGGGGCGAAACTGAACTCGCTCGCCTGGCGGAATCCCTTATGTACCCTCGTGGATTTCTGGATCGTTCGGCGTAGAAGGTTCGGTGTGTAGAACATTCTAACCTCGAATCAGCAAGACGGTTCTCGAATTCACTAGAACATCAAATTACACTGTCAACAAAAATGTGTAGTCGCGGCCAGGAATTGAACCCTGGCCCTCTGCGTCTAAGGCAAGCGCGATAACCGTTAGGCCACGCGCGCGCTGCCTACTTGTCCAGCTGCGCGCGCGGCAATATCAAGTTTCCAATACATTTCCAGTTGCATTTATTTTTCCATAATCCAAATAGCGAAAGGTATCTTGTTTGTTCGGATCGGCATGTTTTGTTTTTTTTTTTAATACAGAACGATTTCCACCCTTTTAAAGACATGTTTCCTGTCCTTGGGTGGTTATGTGCAGGAAGTTGTAAGGTCTGGGGACGAATTTCTTTTGGGGAATGATAGTTTGTGGAAAGTTTCTCTTCCTGTATCCCTGTAAGTCCCGTGCTGTGCACTCCTCCTTTTTGTCCAATAAAAAATCAGCCGTGTTTGAGACTTCTGTGTTTGTGTCATCTTTTAGAAAACCAATTTCAGTTAAAACCACCACTTTTAACCAGAATCGGCTCGTTGTCACCCTCATTTCTTTTTTCTTTTCTTTGGTAATTCAATTATTTGTATCTAATATACTGACCTTCCTCGGCTCTGCCTGATGCATCTGGAGAAATTTCTAGATCATGCCATTTTGAGATAAGCCGAAAAATTGCAACTTGATTTTTCTTCGTGCATTTGACAGGAGAGAGTCATCATTCATTAAGCCGTCAATTCAGGCTCGGACACTCAAGTGTCAATGACCTCATCCATGAAACGTGCACAGCACTCTACGAAGAGCTGAAGGAGGACTTCATAAGAACTCCAAAGACCGAAGAGGAGTGGCTGGATGTGATCAGTGGTTTCGCCCAGAAATGGCAATTTCCAAACTGTGCCGGCGCACTCGACGGCAAGCACGTCTGCATCTGGAAGCCACCAAACTCTGGATCTGTGAACTTTAATTATAAAAAGACCCACAGTATCGTACTCTTCGCTGTAGTAGATGCAAACTGCAAATTCATCTACACCGACGTCGGTGCCCCGGGATCACAAGGAGACACCGGCATCTGGCAGACTACACCGTTACAACGAGCTCTGGCATGCAAGAGGATCCATCTGCCAGAGCTGGTGAAGGTAGCAAACTCACCAGACAAGTTTCTGCCCCCCGTTTTTGTGGGCGATGATGCATTTCCTATCGGAAAAAATCTCATGAAACCGTTTGGTGGCACGAACCTCACGGAAGAACAGCGGATATTCAATTACAGGTAAGTTCTGGTGGTATGTCAGATAGAGGAGAATATACGAATCCAAGTTAAAAGTTATTTAATCAATCAACGCTGTTTCACAGACACTTTGGGCATAAAAACACATCATGTGTTTTTATACATGAAAGATTCTAACCGGCCAGTCTACCCATCTCTTCCTGGATACGGTGCACAATTTTGAGAATGGCTTTGCAGTATTTCTGCTACAGATCAGGAATCCCAAGAGATGTTTGCAACAATACTGGCTTGTCTGTTGCAAACAGCTTCCAAAAAAAGAGCACTGGCAGCATCATAAGGACTGGAAATCAAGATTGCTTGGCTTGCATTCAACTTCAAGAAACCTGCAGGTTTTACAGAACAAGAACAACTCGTCTGTGAACTGCTTGTCATCACTTGCCTGATTTTTCTATAGTAAGCCGAGCTGGAAGATATTGGGACAATATATTACGATCATCTATCTGTACTGACTTACCTCTCAAGCCCACCGTCCTCCAAATCCAACGACTCGGCTGATTGCGGACTGGCAGGATGTTTTATTCTTGCCAAAATGGCACTTCTCTTGAATGTCCGTAGCCTGTGACAGGCTAAGAACTCGGCAGATGCTGTGCCTCGAGCACGAGCTGTGTGCCTTTGATAGTATACTTCGTCGCACACAGCCCAAACCTGGGGGAAGGCAACGAGCGCATGCTGGAGACAGAACATCTTGTGGGTTTTTACCCTGTTATTGATTATAGGGAGGAGAGGTTTCGACAAAATAGTTGTTGCTACGTGCCGGCAATGTCTGAAAAGTGGCGTTCTTAAGTCATAATTTTACATTTCCGTCGCTGGCAGTCTCTTGGTTTCAGCTAGAACAAAAAAGTCTGCTGCCTACTGATCTGCTTCTTAGTCTTGATGACTCGCTCGATACTTGATTGTTCCTTTCCAGGTTGTCCAGAGCTAGACGTGTTGTAGAAAACACATTCGGAATCCTGGCCAACCGTTTCAGGTGTTTGCTGAAAGTGATAAACGCCATTCCCGAAAGGGCTACTGCCATCGTCAATGCTGCATGTGTCCTGCACAACTTTCTCAGCAACGACGTGCTGCCCCAACAAGCATCAGGGGCAGATGCAGAGAAGGAACGCCGAGGTCGCCCAACGTTTTTCAGCTTCCCAGCATCGCGTGGATGTGCTAGCACATTTGGCGCTGCAGTGAGAGAGGACATGTGTAGTTTTTTTCAATGGCAGGGGTGCTGTGTCATGGCAGCGAGAGGCCGCCTACGTTGAGTTAGACAAACACTGCTCACGCAGACAGAAGAAAGAAGCGCAGACAAAAAGAAGCAAGTAAACAGTTAACTTCAACTTTTATTCGGTCAGATGTTTTTCTATTACACTGAGTATTTCAGCCTGGCAGCGAACCAACTTTAATGGGTTCACTGGTCGCATGAGTGCTGCAGCAGCCTTCGCAAAATGTGCAGAGGCGTCATCTGCGTCGGAAGGCTGTTGAACAGCAACTGCTATTTCTTCAAGGGCAGCTGTTCTCGCAGCCCAATCGTTAGCTGAGGGCTGCGAGCTTCGAGCTTTCCTTGACACGCTACTACTGCTGGCCGTACTCACAGAGGCAGGCGACGGCTGTGGCGCATACTCGATGTTGGCGTCCGGGTCGGCATCCTGCTCCGCACTTTGCTCAGCGTTTTGCTGTAACTAAAAGTTGCATGCAAATTCATTTTATCTATGCACAAAGCGAGTTATGCCAGCCTTCGTGGGCTTGAAGAAGGTTGACCTGCCCTGTCCTGCAGAGAAGGAAACAAACTCCAGTAATATCAAAATTATTTAATTTACAAGATGTTCAAGAACTGACTGTATTTTTATGTTAAAGCAGGTGTTTTATATTGTCTTCATATGAGGGTACGGTACCTCATGAGAGTTGAAATGCACTCCATGTGCCCGATATACTTGAGCAAAGTATTCGGTGTTCCTGCTTGCATCCCTAGCTTTATGTACTCGTCTCATGAATAAACATGTGCCACTTTAATTCACACCGACAGTATGTAAAGTGCTTATGTGTGCACAGAGTGTGTGCACAGAGTAGCTAAAAAATTCATAAACGCTTGTAAATTTAGAAAAAATGATATAAAGCTGGCATTTGTACTGCAATGGCTGAATTTTTCATTTACAGTGGAGATAAAGGACAGCGCTTGGCGCAGTCCAACTTCCCGCTGTCAAAACTTGCACGCAAAAAATTACTTAGATTGATGCTGCACGTCTTGCGTTAATGTTTCAGTTGTCACTGTGGTGGCGTAACCGTAACAAGTCTATTGTGCAAATTAAGAAAAGCAGGAAGAGATCATGCTCCTCTTTCCACTTCAGCGAGTGAACACGGGACAGAAGGGGAGTCGCTCCTTGCCTCCACTCCAGCTTTCTCTTGCTAAAGTGAAAAGAGTGGGAGGAGCTTGTTAGGCTTTTCTTAACCTGCAAAAGTAGATAGTCGCTCAAAACAAGAATCTACACAACAGATAGCAGTGTATCGCAATGACTTCTGGAATGGCATATATAAGGCAGCTACAAAATTTACCGCCTCTGGCTCTGCCACCTCAAAAGCCTCGCTGAAGGTCCTTGTCCCTGTCGGCTTGGCAGCATCTAGGAAGTTCAGACAATGGAAGAACTTCCATTTGCCCTTGTATGAATCGCTGGAAGCTTGGCCGCTTTTCGATGACTTCAATTTTTTTTCTCTGCACGGTAGGTCCTCCTTTTGTTATTAAAGAATGTCTTCAGCGTATCTGTAACACAAAACATATTTTACTCTTCAAGGGCTGCGGGTAATGCAGGGCACAATCACTGTGTAAGCAATTTTTTTTCCTGCACTTTCAGGTAAACAAGCTTTGCAGGGTTCAATACCATTGAACACCAATGTATGCAGCAGTAGCGATCCCCCACCGCAAAAAAAACAGAGAAAAAAAAAACTTCAAATCTGGATACAACAAACGCGTCACACTGCACGATCTCCGCAATAAGATTTCATCGGTCGGCTTGGTAAGAATAGCTTTCTGTTCGCAGTCTAGCAGAGAGAACAATGAAAGGTGTGCTTCCGTCCAGAATTTCTCTGGGGAGCCCCTATTTTAAGCAACCGAGCCATCTCGAAGCAAGAGATCGAATCTCCCTACGGGCGACACGCCACACTGCAGGCACAGTAATGGGAAACGCGGCAAACAGTTTAAAGAAATAGGTGTACTGGGTCTCGTGAGTACTGCCCAAACGTTTTCTGCATGCTCGGATGGAATAAGAAATGGAGTACATTATAGTCATAATACGTACCGGGGACGTACGGGCCGCATTCAGGGTAGCGGTCCTCCATCTCGTCGGCGATTTGTCGCCACAACGCGCCTTTCAAAGCGTTGTTGGCGTACTCGCTCATCGTCATGTCCCAAAGCGCTGGGAAATGCTCCACAAGCGAAATGAAAAACATGCTTGCTTCATCGCTTAATTTTGAGCCGTACGAAGGGCCAGGGACAGCAAAATCGGAATACGGTTCGCCAGCCATCTTTCTCGCGCAAACCAGAAAAGTTTCACTGTTGCCCAACTAACTACGTTTTTTGAGCCAAAGCATTCGAGATCCTCCGTCAAAAGTCCGCGAGTGAAAAAGGCGCTTGACTTTATCACTCCGCGACTCCGCGGAGGAGGCGCGGATCGCAGGAATCGGTGACGTGCCGGTCACGTGGTACACGGTCCGCGGACGAAAATCGCGATTCGGTCCGTCGTGTGAATCGGCTATAACGGATTACTTCCCAAGTCTGGCAGGGACTAACTCCAAAGGCTGTGAAAGTGAGAGCGTGTAGCCTTGGCTGCCTCGACTGGCACTCACTGCACGAGCGCTCGCGCAGCCGCCGAGAAGTGACCCAAAGCAATTAGATCGCGCCTTTACCATGCATGGGTCACCATAGTCCATGCTAAGGTGAGGCGAACTTCAGCTCGGCCAAGAAGGTCAAGGAGGTCAATAAAGATTTATTATTATTCTTATTATTATTATTAAAAAACACTCCAAAGATAACAAAGAGAAATCCCAGCCTGAAACAGACGTCTACCCATCAAAGTGCCACCCCACCCTTGGTTAGTGTGATTCTGAACCAACAGATGGCGGTGAGATCGCCTTCCAGGCCTGTACATCAATGCGAAAAAAAGGGTCTGTGGTGGCGCTTCAATACGGCTGGGTACTTTTTTATATCCTGAGTTTGACATCCCTTGTCCCTTGCTTGTTTTTCTCTGCACGAGCTTTCTCTGGAACGCGCATGGCTGCGCCAGTTCTCGTGCAAGGGGGCCAGTTACCTACACTCCGAGCTCGTGTCTCCAGCAAATGTGGGCAAAACAAAACGCGAAAATCGGCGAGACAAATGCACAACAAATCCACGGACGCGTTGAAACATTAAAACTGCCTGTACGCCATTATCGAAGATTTCAGAAGCCAATGGACCTTTTCCATATACCGACGGCACCAGGCCATTGCTCATGCTTCGCGATTTGAGTGAGGTAAGGCAAAGCGAAAGCCTCCTGCACCATTCGTTGCTGACTAACGCGCCCGATATTGCAGCTACAACGACATATTCGTTCGAAAGCGAGCGGCGCTCCCTCACTGTGGCACCGCCATATTTCCCCGCATCCCTACCGAGCCAGTCACGTGATCTCAAAATCCCTCTTTTAGGTACTGCTGCTAACTTTAGTCGTGGTTAGCGCTTCGAGCAAACAGGCCCAGAGTAGCGACACGACGCAAAACTGTCTAGATGCACGACGTCAGGAGCGCCGATAGTGATCTCCATTTTGGGCCTGGGAGCTTACCATGGTAACCGTGCTGCTAACGAAACTGGGCGGCAACTTTTTTAGTCCAGTTTCGTTGATATCTCAATTCGTTCATTGAAAAGTGGTAAAAGACGCTTTGCATGTAGGTCCACATGACGGCGTCATTTGCTTCCAAGGGCCACTGGAGGAACGGTGCCTGTTTCTTCTGTCAGTACAGCGAGTTCGGCACGGGCCTCTAGAGGAACGGTGCCTGTTTCTTCTGTGAAATGACACGATTTGCAACCAGGCGGCTGTCGGGCGACGAGAGCTGCTAGGTATCGTAAGTGCACGGACAAGGCTATTGTTTTCCCGCGCCGCGGGATGACGGCCCCTTCGTGGGACGTCTATAAAGGACTTTCGGACTTCGCTCCCATGGAACGAAATCCGATTACGCCGGCCACGACAGGACGATCGCCTCGGGACGTGACTGCTGCTCGACTACCCCATAGTCAGCGAATATGTGCTTAGCATCATACTTCTTCAAGACCCAAATATCCACTCAAGATGAGAGTGTCTGACCGACTTGCGAGGAGCGACGTCGACGACGGTCTCATCCGCCGACGACGGTCTCACCCTCGTTTGTGCGATGAACAGCCGAGGGGGTTCAACCAAGAACAGTAGCATGGTGGTCTCCGGGGGATTGTTAACGCCATCAAAAGAGACGGACGCCGGATATGAGGTATTCTTGCCAAAAGGCCAAGTGGGCGTCCGGAACTTTACCAGCATGCAAAAAGTCGCATTATTTTTATCTGGCGTAGCAGGCATATCCGTGTTAACCCTTTAACCCGCATATTGTCACGGGTGGTGACCAAAAAACAATGAATAGACAGAAAGAAATAAACGTTTAATGTGGCGAACTTGTGCCAAAAATAAAAGGGGTACACAGTGTTATGTATAATACAAGCAACATTCCGGCGCTTTGTGGAACTCTTTACGGCGCCACTCGGGCGATCACGTAGTGCCGCCATCCCGCCGCCATCCCGCCGCCATCCCGCCGCCGCGGCATCCGAAGGTCGGGTTACCCGAGCCGCCCGCAACGCGAGCAGGCTGGGCCGTACGAAGATCGTGGAAATAAAAGCAGTTCATACTCAGCCAGCGTCTGAAGTGGTCTCCGTCTACATGCGGGCCGAGACGCCCCAACATAACATTGGCGACGAGGAGCTGGATCCGAACCTACAAAGCCTGACTTCTACGGTGGGACACCGGGCCACAAGTCATGACGACGGAGCGGACAATCGAGGTTTTCACGGGCAAGTGCTGGTCTTCCTGGAGCGAGCGGCTGAGCTTCTACTTCGTGGCCAACTCGATCACCGATCGGGTGAAGAAGCGTGCACTTTTACTAACCTTGTGTGGCGCGGAGACGTTCGAGACTGTTCGGGCTCTAGTTGCACCAAGAACACCAGGGGATGTCAGTTTTGAAGAACTGGTCTCAGCCCTGAGAACGCACTTCGATCCTCAACCGTCTGAAATCTACGGTCGCTACAAATTCCAGCGTCAAGATCAACAGCAAGGCGAGTCGATTAGCAGCTACGTCGCAGCACTAAAGAAACTTGCAGCCGACTGCAATTTTGGAATAGTGACAACAGCGACCACGACCGCCGTATCGATAACGGATTCGTCGGGTCAAGCAGCCACGACGACGCCCGTGCATATCACCAAACTGCCGCTAGACGTCATGCTACGTGACAGGTTTGTTTGTGCTGTAAAAGACGATTTCCTGCAGCAGCGCCTGTTTACGGAAAGGGATCTCACTGTCGAGAAGGCTTTTGAGCTCGCAGCCAGAGTCGAAAGCGCTTCAAAACAGCAACAGAGTATCAAGCATAAGACTGACCTCCCCCTCGTTCACAAGACATCGAAGGGAAAAGCTGAGAACGCCGGACGATCGTCCACTCGACCTTGTTTTCGATGTGAAGGCCAACACAATCCTTCGACTTGCAGATGCCGTAACGAGGAGTGCCGTTACTGTAACAAGCGTGGACACATCGAAAAAGCCTGCATCACGAAGAGAGAGAAGGGTAAAAGTGCAAGCCGTAAAAGCAGTCAGCACAACGTGGACTTGACGCCCACAGCAGTCGACCGGCAGCGAGAGGAACATGGAGATTTTTACCATCGGCTCAACAGCGGGACAGCGCACGAACCGTGTCCAAAATTCCTTGTGACATTGAAGATTGAAGGCAAATCACTAGAATTTGAAGTCGATTCCGGTGCCTTGTGTACCCTGATCAGCGAGGAGACGTACCGCAAGGTGTAGCCCCAAAACCCTCCTCAGCTCCACGAGGACAACCTGCATTTGCGCACCTGGACTGGAGGAGGCCTGCAACTTCTCGGTGTAGCGCAAGTGTCCGTTCGCTTCAAGTCTAGAGACTTCTTGCTGCCACTACTCGTCATGAAAGGGGCGGGATGCAACCTTCTTGGCAGAGATTTTTTTCCAGCGCTTCGGATTCGCGTCTGTGGCATAAACCAAATGCAGCCAACTCCAGCAGCCGTCATGACAACGGAAATACAGGAGGTCCTCGCACGCCACCCGGATGTCTTTAACGAAGATATCGACGGTTACGCGGGCCCTTTGGTTCACCTGGAACTGCAAGATGGAGCAGCGCCCAAGTTTTGCAAGTCTCGTTCTGTGCCCTTGGCTCTGCAAGGACCAATGGAAGAAGAACTTGATCGTTTGCAACATCAAGGCATCCTTGAACAGACGCAACATGCTGAGTGGGCCACACCAGTGGTGTTCGTACGCAAAGGCGACGGCACATTTCGTGTTTGCGGCGATTACAGGAGCACTGTTAACGCAGCCGCAAAGAAGGCATCGTACCGCTTGCCAACAACGACTGAAGTGTTCGCAAATCTGCGCGGTGGAACTGTCTTCTCGACTCTGGATCTGTACCAGGCATAGCAGCAAATGAAAGTCGACGACGAAACTGCGGCTGTGCTCACCATCAACACTACCAAGGGACTGTTCCAAGTCAAACGGCTCCCGTTCGGAATTTCTGCAGCACCAGCCATCTTCCAACGCATGTAGGAGACCACACTGGCCGGAATTCCGGGGGTGAGTGTTTACCTTGACGACATCATTGTCAGTGGGAAGGACACTCTTGAGCATGCTTAACTCATTGACAAGGTTTTATCGAGGCTAAGCGAGGCAGGGCTACGCCTCAAGCAAGAGAAGTGCCAATTTGGCTTCGAGTCAGTTGAGTTTCTGGGATACAAAATTAACGCTAAAGGAGTACACACTGCCGAGGAGAAAGTGCAAGCTATCCTTCAAGCGCCCGAGCCAACCGATAAGACATAGCTGCCAGCTTTCCTTGGGCTTCTCGCATTCTACGACCGCTTTTTGGAAAACCGCGCGATAGTTGCCGCCGAGATGTAAAAGCTCCTGGAGAAAAATACGCTCTGGAAGTGGGAAAGGAAGCACCAGACTGCTTTTGATGCACTTAAGGGCTTGATTTAATTTTCCACTGTGCTTGCTCATTATGATGAGACGAAGCCTCTTCTCTTGTCTGTCGACGCGTCACCGTACGGTGTCGGTGCCATGCTCGCCCAGAAAGATGAACTCGGCAGAGAGGCCCCTATAGCTTTCACATCGCGAACACTGGGAGCCGCGGAAAAGAATTACTCCCAGCTCGACAAGGAAGGCTTGGCAGTAGTTTACGGTGTCAGTCATTTTCACCAGTACATTTCAGGCAGACACGTGACAGTTTTAACAGATCACCCACCTCTGCTTGGCATCTTGGGAGAAAAAAAGCAAATGCCCCAAGTCCTGTCACCTAGGATGACACGATGGTGCCTCAAGCTTGCCACTTACGACTACAATTTAGTCTACAGACCGGGGAGACTCCATCAAAACGCTGATACACTCAGCGGGTTGCCGCTTCCGGCACAGGTCGACGAGCCCTGTCTCCCGGTGGACGTACTTATGTTAGCGTCACCTCCAAGTGTCGAACTACCGCCACGTAAACTCGCTCAAATGACCCGACAGGATCCACTCTTATCTCGAGTGCTCACAGCTATTTCAAGTGGAGGACTGCATAAACTGTCAAAGAAACAGTTTTCACCGTACTGGAGACTCGGCACAGAACTTTCAGCGCAACAAGCTTGCCTCCTGAGAGGCTCCAGAGTGGTCATTCCCACAAAGGCGAGGAAGGATGTGCTTGACTTGGCGCATGCGGGTCATAGAGGCGTAGTAGCTATGAAGGCATGCGCACGAGGTTACTTTTGGTGGCCAGGTCTTCACAGTGACATTGGAAGACTGGCAAGAAGCTGCGAAACTTGTCGGCGAAACCAGAAGGCACCACCCAAGGCACCAATCCTCGAATGGATGCGTGCGACGACGCCTTGGCAGACCATTCATGCGGACTTCGCTGGCCCCGTGGAGGGGAAGATTTTTTGATTGTTGTCGACGCATACAGCAAGTGGCTAGAAGTACGCTGCATGCGTAACATACAGTCAATCACACTGATTGAGGAATTGCGGGAACTCTTCGCAACGTTTGGAGTCCCCGAAAAGATGGTAACGGACAATGGGACCATCCTTTGTTTCGTCCGAGGTAAAAGACTTCCTAAAGAAAAATGGTGTGACTCATATAACAAGTGCGCCTTACCATCCCGCCACAAACGGACAGGCGGAAAGAATGGTCTCTGAGACGAAGCAGGCATTGGCAAAAAGTCAAACTGAAACAGCAACATTCGCGTGCAGACTGGCAAGGTTCTTGCTAAAACAGCACACCCAACCGTCTGTACAACAACTGGAAAAACACCAGAGGCGCTCCTGTTCAGCCGCGAACTTTCTACAGCGCTCACACGCCTACAGCCCCGCGTGCCGGAAGAGCCGGCATCGGAATACCGCAGAGAAAAATCACCTAGAGAAGTTACAGTAGGACAAGCCGTCTTCGTCCGCAACTTCGTTGGAAACCCTACTTGGATTAAAGGAACCGTTATGAAGAGACTGGGGCACCGCTCTTGGCTGGTGAAGCGCGAGAATGGAACGGTTCGTCGACACGTGGATCACAATAAACCCGGTACACAGAAGAATCAGACAACAAGCCCGACATCGCACAATTCCAACAAGGAACCGGTGACAAGCCATGTTCCGGCTGCATCTGTTCTACAGACGGACTTCCCAGCATCGTGTGAATCCAACCGACCTCCAGCGCCCGAGTCCCAAGATGAAACTGGCGCGCAATCTGACCCGTGCGACACAGTACCTGCCGACCAGCGGAAGAACGAGTCAGCGCCAGTTTCCACTGCGGTGCCAAGACCCCAGCGCGAACGGCGTCCCCCGGACCGCTACGGTGACTCAATTTGAGGAGGAAGGGATGTTATGTATAATACGAGCAACATTCCGCCGCTTTGTGGAACTCTCTACGGCGCCACTCGGGCGATCACGTAGTGCCGCCATCCCGCCGCCATGGCATCCGGAGATCGGGTTACCCGAGCCGCCCGCAACGCGAGCAGGCTGGGCCGTACGAAGATCGTGGAAATAAAAGCAGTTCATACCCAGCCAGCGACTGAAGTGGTCTCCGTCTACATACGGGCCGAGACGCCCCAACATAACACAAAGGATAATAACAGAGCGTCGCGAGCGTCGAAGTCGGTGAAACCGCAGGATCGAGCGCTGGGGCGACACTGACTCCTGCTTGCCACGCGGAGCCGCTTTTGTACACGCGTTGGCTTCTGGAGCATTCGACGTAGAAGGCTCGACGCGTAGAACATTCTAACCTCAAATCAGCTAGACGGTTCTTGAATTCACGAGAACATCACATTACAGTGTCAACAGAAATGCGTAGCCTCGGCCAGGAATCGATCCCTGGCCCTTCGCGTGGGAGGCAAGCGCGATAACCGTTAGGCTACGGCCGCGCTGCCTACTTGGCGCGCGGCATTACTCCTTCCTTAAAAAGTGCATCGCCCCGATGCAACACAAAACAAAACAAAGCACATAAAAAGAACGGCAAACTAAAGAGTCATTTGAAACACATAAGATCCGCAGTCCTATCTAGCGTAGTACGGCTTCAGGCGCACGACGTGGACGACTTCAGGTCGTGGTGGGCGGCGTGATGATGTCCTTGTTCCGTCGGGCATCACCTCGTAGTTCAGCTCGCCGAGGCGACGAAGTACCTTGTATGGTCCAAAGTACCGTTTCAGCAGTTTCTCACTGAGGCCGCGGCAACGGATGGGCGTCCACACCCACACCCTGCCTCCGGGCTCGAAGTGAACGTCCCCGCGACGAAGGTTGTAGCGGCCCGCGTCGATGCGTTGCTGGTCTTGAATCATGAGTCGGGCGAGCTGGCGGACTTCTTCGGCGCGTTGAGCAACCGCCTGGGCGTCGTCGCTCTCATTGTCAGATGGCTCATGGGGCAGCATTGCGTCCAGCATGGTCGTTACCTTCCGACCATGTACCAGCTGGAAACGGGTGAATCCAGTGGTCTCCTGAACCGCCGTATTGTAGGCGAACGTGACGTAGGGCAACACCTGGTCCCACGTCTTGTGCTCTACGTCGACGTACATAAAGATCATATCGGCCATTGTCTTGTTGAGTCGCTCGGTCAGCCCGTTGTTCTGCGGATGGTATGCAGTGGTTCGACGATGGCCGGTGCCACTGAGACGAAGGATCTCTTGCGTCAGCTGGGCCATGAATGATGATCCACGGTCTGAGATCAGGACTTTGGGAGCGCCGTGCCGGAGGACGATGGTCTCGATGAAAAACTTGGCGACTTCAAGAGCCGTTCCTGATGGAAGGGCTTTTGTCTCGGCGTACCGCGTGAGATAATCGGTTGCGACGATTATCCATCGGTTTCCTTGCGTCGACGGTGGGAAAGGTCCGAGTAAGTCCATACCGATTTACTGGAATGGGGCAGATGGCGGCGCAATAGGTTGAAGAAGTTCTGCCGGTCTCGTCGGTGGCTTCTTCCGCCGTTGACACTCGTGGCAAGATCGGGTGTAGTGGTGTACTGTCTTCGCAAGCTTGGGCCAGTACTACTTTTCGCGTATTCTTGGAAGAGTCCTGCTTTAACCAGGGTGTCCCGCCGTCGGGTCATCGTGGCAGGCTTGAAAAATTTCTTCTCAAAGACTGGAAGGGATCACCAACAGCCACGCCGTGTTGTTGTCCCTGAAGTTCTCCTTGTACAGCACGCCTTGTCGGATGGAGAACGTTGGCAGTGTTCGTAGAAAACCGTGGGGAACGGCGCTTCCTTGTCCCTCTAAATGCTCGATGAGTGCTCGCAGCTCAGGGTCGTCTCGTTGGAGTGCTGCCATGTCGCTGACATACAGAGGGCCGAGGAAACACTCATCGTCGTCCTCTTTGGTTCAGGCAGGACCGGCTTCGACTGGGGCCCTTGACAGGCAGTCGGCGTCATTGTGCTTTCGGCCGGACTTGTACACCACGGTCATGTCGAACTCCTGCAGTCGTAGGATCCACCGAGCGAGGCGTCCGGAGGGGTCCTTCGGATTCGCCAGACAGCAGAGCGAGTGGTGGTCTGTGACCACGCGAAAAGAACTTCCGTACAAATATGGGCGAAACTTTGTTATTGCCCATACGACAGCGGGGCACTCCTTTTCAGTCGTTGAATAGTTCCTCTCCGCGTTAGACAGCGTCCGACTTGCGTATGCGACAACTCGCTCTGCTCCATCCTGCACTTGCACTAGTACCGCACCCAGTCCGGTGTTACTGGCGTCGGTGTGGATCTCGGTTTCAGCAAACTGGTCGAAATGGCCAAGAATCGGGGGCGTCTGGAGTCTTCATTTGAGCTCGTCGAATGACCTCTGGTGTTCTTCTCTCCACTCGAACTTTACGGCGTCCTTCGTGAGGTGTGTCAGCGGTGCGGATAGCTTGGCAAAGTTTCGAACAAAGCGCCTGTAGTAGGCACAGAGTCCGAGAAATCTTCTCACGGCCTTCTTGTCAGACGGCGGCGTAAATGCAGCTACGGCGCGGGTTTTCTCGGGGTCAGGTAGAACACCCTTATTGTTCACGTCGTGGCCAAGGAACTTTAGTTCCCCATAGGCGAACCGACATTCTGTTGGCTTGAGTGACAGGCCGGCGGTCTTGATGGCTTGA